AAACAGCAATCAAGGCTCAACTACAACAGGACAGTGCACACCGCTCACACAGGGACACACCTGGAGCACCCAGCACAGGTGACTGGGAAGGCTGTGCCACTGGGCCTTACAGGACACCTACCTTACAAGGCCACTCTACCAAATCTGGGAGACATAGCAGCTCTACCTAATGCATAGAAACAAACATTGGGAAGTAGACAAAATGCGGAGACAAAGAAACAGGTCCCAAATGAAAGAACAGGAGAAATCTCTAGAAAAAGAACTAAGTGAAATGGAGGCAAACAAACCACCAGATACAGAGTACGAAACAATGGCTATAAGGATGCTCAAGAAACTTAGTGAGAACATTAAGAAACTTAGTGAGAGGGAAGGAGGGGAAGCGCGTACGCGCGCGAGAGAGAGAGAGAGAGAGAGAGAGAGAGAGAAACATCAATGTGAGAGAGACATATCAATTTGTTGCTTTCTGCACACACCCCGATAGGGGCCAGGGATCAAACCTGCAACCCAGGTGTGTGCCCTTAACTGGGAATCTAACCCAAGACCCTTCAGTGTGAGGGCTGATGCCAAAGAGAGAATCTTAAAAGCGGCAAGAGAAAGACAGCTATCTATGACAGCAGTCTCCAACCAGTGGTCTAGGGACCACTGTTGGTCCGTGAAGTCCGAAAGGTTAGCAACTGCTGATCTATGAGAGAGCTCCCATAAAACTATCAGCAGAAATTTTGCAGACCAGAAGGGATTGGAAAGAAATTATTCAAAATGATGAAAAGCATGGATCTACACCCAAGATTACCCCACACAGCAAAGCTATCATTTAGAATCTAAGGGCAGATAAAGAGTTTCCCAGACAGGAAATAGCTAAAGTAGTTGGTTCATCACCACCAAACCAATATTACATGAACTATTAAAGGGTCTTCTTTAAAAATAAGAAGAAGAAAAGATAAAAAAGATGAACAATAAAAGGGCAATAAATGCATATCTATCAACAATTGAATCTGAAAAATAAGAACAAATAAACAAGCAGAAACAGACATAGATACAGAGAACATTTTGACAGTTGCCAGGTGGGAGAGGTGTCCCTCCATCAGTCCTCAACACCCCAGCCCGGCCGTGTAGCCAAGTCCATTTTAACCAAATCAGCAGCTTATTGGAAGCTCCCAACAGTAGCTGGTCAGATGCTCCTGGGCATCTCTTCCCCCCAAGCCGCAGCGTCAGGGTGGCCATATCTGTTGTCCAGCCGGTGAAGGGCAATCGGGAGCGTGTGTGTGTGAAGCCGACTGTTACAATCGCTGCTATAGGAACCCTCTCTCCTTCCAGGTCTAAGTGCTCAACCGACAGGGAGTCCTTGCTCAGCTTCTTCCACGATGGGTTTGGTCCAGCAGCTTCTGGGTTTGATGTGGATCTGCACAGCCAGCTGTTCTTTGTTAAGCCTAGTTATCTCCTCGGGTTTCCAGAGGGACATGTTTGCTCTTGCCGTCTTGGCTCCGATGAGAAGCTTTATGAGGCAGCTTCTCCGAGGCAGAAGGAGAGGGATGGGCACTTGGGGAAGGAGAGCCATCCCTGCCTGCTGTGCTCAGGCTCCTTTCTCATACAGATCTCACGTGGTCCTCACAACATGACAACAACGGGCTGTGCAAGGCGGGCACGTTTACACACACCTTTGAGAGTGGCAAATACATACACTCACTCTGTAGGATAAGAAATCAACGCTCAGCCCTGACCAGTTTGGCTCAGTGGATAGAGCATCGGCCTGCGGGCTGTGAGGTCCCAGGTTCGATTCCGGTCAAGGGCATGTACCTTGGTTGCTGGCACATCCCCAGTAGGAGGTGTGCAGGAGGCAGCTGATCGATGTTTCTCTCTTGTTGATGTTTCTAACTCTCTATCCCTCTCCCTTCCTCTCTGTAAAAAAATCAATAAAATATATTTAAAAAAAATAAAAATAAGGAAATCAATGCTCAGAAAGATTAAATCACTTGCCCAGGTCCTGGCAGAGGCAGGATTTGAACTCAGTTCCTATACTCACCCAGACACCACTGTCCTGCCAGTGTGGCAGCTGGCTTTTCTTCTCTGCTTCATATCACAGTTCACAGAAGCAAGAATTACATTTGTTCTTACGGTGTTCCTTTCAGTTTCAACTCATATCTTACAGACCAACAGTTTATTCCGTAATTACTTTGAAATTTTAGTGTTTTGTTTTGTTTTGGTAAGGAAAGGATGGTTCTAAAACCTTACATGTGCTAAAGAGAAAGCTCTTTATCTGCTTACAGACGAGGGTGGCCACTTGCCCTGGTCTTTCCAGGACTTCCCCAGTATTGGTACTGAAAGTCCCACATCTTGGGAACTCCTCAGTCCTTGGAAAACTGATACGGTCACCATATTACACGAGCCCTTAAAAAGTGCTATCGCCATCTGGTGGCTGATGCCCCAAATTGTAGGTACAATTCACAAGCATTGTATCTTGCCTGTTCAGCGTGGGTTTTTTATTTGCTTTGTTTTTGTTTTAATCCTCACCAGAGGATATGTTTTTATTGATTTTTTATAGAGAGAGGAAGGGAGAGAGAGAGAGAGAGAGAGAGAGAGAGAGAGAGAGAGAGAGAAACATTGATGTGAGAGAGAAACATAGATTAGTTGTCTCCTATGCAGCTGACTGGGAATCAGACCCCCAACCTGGGTATGTGCCCTGATCAGGAATTGAACCTGCAACCCTTTGGTGCACTGAACAACATTCCAACCGCTGAGCCACACTGGCTAGGGCTGTTTAGCGTGTTTTGAGCAGCAGAGATGTGGTCCATTTTACTAGATAAATAGACATATGGATAAAGCACATAAGAGTGTCCCCCAAATTTAAATTTTCCACTCAAGAAAAGAGACCATAGTAGATACAGTAGTGATTAATTAATTTTTAATTTATCAATTCATATCTAATTGCCTCCAACTATGTAATCACTATATAGTCAACATCTAGCAGCTTAAAATTGTTTTCAAACTTGGGTCCTCTAAAGGACTTATCGCGGGTCAGGGGTACAGGGAGGCCCGGAGGCGCAGTAAGGTAGGTGACTTGCCCAAGTTGTGCACTGGGTGGCCCATCTACATCCTGCTCCTCTGTACTCGCTCTCCCGGCTCTTTAGTCAAACCAAGCATCTCTCCATGTTCTCTCTCCTCAGAGCCCTGTCCTCTGCTTGGCCACAGAGGTGCCACCCAGGCCCCTGGCCTTAGATGGAGAAGGGATTCCTCCTCCCAGGAAATGGTGTTCTCACTGGGCTTACATGCACTGTCTCCTGAATTCGATTCAGATCAAGTGCAAATACATTTAGTTAGCATCTATGTTTAAAATATTTTGGAAGGAACCATTTTTAGGTTCAGTGATTTTTTCACAGTATAGAGATTTTTTCACAGTATAGTGATTTTTTCACAGTATAGTGATTTTTCAGTCTGGGAGTGGTTCCAGCATCCTCCTTTACACATTGGAAAAATGCACAGGCCCATGGCCTAACATAGTAACACATCACTCTAGAGCAGCGGTTCTCAACCTGTGGGTCGCGACCCCTTTGGCGGTCGAACGACCCTTTCACAGGGGTCGCCTAAGACCATCCTGCATATCAGATATTTACATTATGATTCATAACAGTAGCAACATTACAGTTATGAAATAGCAACGAAAATAATTTTATGGTTGGGTCGCAACATGAGGAACTGTATTTAAAGGGCCAGAAGGTTGAGAACCACTGCTCTAGAGACTGTTCCGCCCCCTGGGGGAAGGTGGGGAATTGCTTCCTGTGGAATAGTCCCTTCTTGTGGTTTACAAAACACTTCTCCTTCCATGGTCTCCTTCAGTCTCAGGCCCCTGCAGCACAGCACAGTGGGGAAACAAACTGTCTGCAGTCAGGCCAGACTCTTCCCTTACAGCCAGGCCTGGTCTTGAGCAAATTGCTTCACCTCTCTGTGCCCCAGTTTCCTCTTATGGAATGTGAACAATGATCGTCCTTCCCACACGGTTGTTATCAGGATTAAATAAGATAAACTGTGTGAGGAGCTCAGCAGAGCCCCTGGTTTGCAGGGAGCCCAATGGAAACTTTTGCTACAACAGACACACCTCGGAGATCTTGCAGGTTTGGTCCCAGACCACGGTGATAAAGCGCACACCACAATAAAGTGAGACACACAAACTTTTCTCTTCTTTTGTGCATATGAACGTTATGTATCTACGATAGTCTATTAAGGGTGCAATCGCATTATCTCTAAAAAACACTGTACACACCTCCATTAAAAACACTTTACTGCTAAAAACGCTAACCATCATCTGAGTCTTCAGCAAGTCAACGTTTTTTTGCAGCTGGAGAGTCTTGCTTCGATGTTGATGGCCGCTGACAGATCAGTGGTGGTTGCTGAAGGTGGGTGGCTGTCCAGTTTCTTAAAATAAGACAACAGTGAGGTTTGCCACTTCGACCGACTCCTCCTTTCACAAAAGCTTCTCGGGAGCATGCAGAGCTGATAGCATGGTACCCACAGCAGAGCTTCTTTCAGGATTGGAGTTAGTCCTTCAAACCCTGCTGCCGATTTGCCAACCGAGCATATGTGATATTCTAAATCCTTTGTTGTCGTTTCAACAATCTTCACAGCATCGTCACCAGGGGGAGGTGTGCGACTCTTCCTTCAACTTGAACTTGGAGGCACTTGTAAGGTTATTAATTGGCCTGATTACAATATTATTGTGTCTCAGGGACTAGAAAGGCCCAAGGAGAGGGAGAGAGACAGGGGAACAGCCAGTTGGTGGAGCAGTGGGAACACTCACAACATTTATCAATGTTGATGTCTTATATGTGGTGCCAAAAGCAATGACCATGGTGACATCAAACATCATTGGTCACAGATCACCATAACACATATGAAAATAAAGAGTCTGAATTATTGCAACGCCAAAACGTGACACGGAGACATGAAGCGAGCAAAGCTGTTGGGAAAATGGCACTGACAGACTGGCTGGATGCAGGGTTGCCACAAACCTTCGATTTGTAAAAAATGCAGTATCTGCCAAGTGCAACAAAGTGATGCACCATACACCGAGGTACACCTGCACTGTGTTCATGAAACCCTGAGGACATCAAACATCATTGGTCACAGATCACCATAACACATGAAAATAAAGAGTCTGAACTATTGCAATGCCAAAACGTGACACGGAGACATGAAGCAAGCAAAGCTGTTGGGAAAATGGCACCGACAGACTGGCTGGATGCAGGGTTGCCACAAACCTTCGATTTTTAAAAAATGCAGTATCTGCCAAGTGCAACAAAGTGATGCACCATACACCGAGGTACACCTGCACTGTGTTCATGAAACCCTGAGGGTTGGCCGACCTCCTCTTGACATTGAGGCAAGTGAGAACCAGAAGGAAAAAGAGTTTACCCATTAGAGGCCAACTTAGAATTGGAACCTGCGTCCTCAGACCACCAATCCTAAGATATTTTCTGTGCCCCACACAGATCTTTTTTTAAAATATATTTTAGCTGTTTTATTATTGTTCTTCTAGCTCATGAGTTATCATTAACAGGATAAATAGCTTAAAAGACTAACATGACAGAGAAACAACAGAAGTAAAATGAAATGCATGAACCTATAATACTTGCCTTTAAGAAACCCATAATTTAATCAATATTTATTCTAATATAAAACAAATTGTAAGTGGTTTCGTTTCTGTCACCCATAGTTCAGTTTGAAGTCAGCACTTCTTTTCCCACACAGATCTTAACCAGAGCTTGCAAACCGGTAGCCCATAGACTATTTTATTTGATCACTTTATTTAATCAAAATACTACACATACCAAAATCAGGATCTCTGACTCTTGAAAAATAAGAAGTTCTGTCTACCTGGGCCCTAATACTCATGGGACAAGATCTGCTGGAATTAACTAGTGACAGCCGCCATCCTCTCTGCTACCCCTCAGATCTTGTGGCCAATCCCAGCTTCCCTCCGTGTTCTTCTGAGCTTACCCTGTCCTTCCTCTCATTTTACAGAAATGCCTCCCCAGTTCCCATGTCTCCATCAACAGGGGGAAATGAGCAATAGACTCTCAGAGCACCAAGGTGTTCCTCCCGTGGGCCAGCCTCCTGTTCACCTGCTGGCGGCACCACGGCCGCGTGGTCTCCCCGTGGCGCTGTGGCCTCCGCAGTGGCCAGGTCGCCCAGGCAGGCCTGGAGCTCCACGCCCCTGACATTTCCCTGGAAGCTTGCTTCTCAGAGCCTGAAAGCATTTGGAAAACACCGATGGTGGACATTTTCCTCCCCATTTTTCAGATGAAGAATACAAGAGTGGAAGGAGCTTACCTGAAGCCATGGGTGGACCTGAGAGAATACAAGGTCTTCTGAGGTCTTCCAGCCGCTGGCTCCAGCCCGGGCTGCGGTGCAGAAAGGACGCAGGGTGGTACCTGTGCACCTCCTGGGAGCTGCCTCTTCCTCCTGAGACCTGGGGAGAGGCAGGAGAGCAGCTGCCTTCCACACACCCACGCAGGCTGGCCAGCCCCTGCTGCCAGAGCGGTGACTCAGCCTAGCAGAAGCCAAACTGGTTCTTATCTGCGTAAGATGGGAGGTCACGTGGGGACCTGAGCTGGACCAGTGGGGCTGGCCCTGTGTGCCCACCCCACCTGACTGCCACCAGTTCATGCGTGGGTCCATACATGCAGACAATACGGACCGACTTGATCCTGTGTGCCTGCCACTCCTCCAGACATGGGAACAGCCAGACAAGGTCTCCAATATTCCTTTCTTTATTATTATTTTTACATTTTAATATATTTTTATTGATTTAAGAGAAGGAGAGGGAGAGAGAGATAGAAACATCAATGATAAGATGGGGGCCTCCTGCAAGCCCTCTACTGGGGATCGAGTCCGTAACCCAAGTATGTGCCCTGACCAGGAATCAAACTATGACCTCCTGGTTCATAGGTGGATGCTCCACCACTGAGCCACGCTAGCTGGGCAAGTCCTCTGATATTCTAATGGAGGAAGGCAGGCAGGAAAGAAGTAAATAAATAAACCAACTTTATATGATGGTAAGTGCTACGGGGGAAATCAAAACCCAATGTTTCTGAGGGACACCCAGGTGGGTGCGTGTTATAGGGAAAGTGGCCAGGGGAGGCCTCTCAGAGAAGGTGACATTGAGCTGAGACCTGAGTGAGGTGAAGAAGAGGAACGTGTTCCAGGTGGAGGGAACAGCAATTGTGAAGGCTCCTGGGTGCGTGCAGTTCTTCATGGTCTGAGGGTCACATGGTTGGGCATGGCTTAGGGAGCAAAGGGCATCCATGCCTTTTCCAGTTACCTCAGGCTCCGCACCCCGGAGCCTGCGCAATGCTGTCCTCAAGGCCAGATACTGTCCCCACCTCCGCAGGAAGACCCTGTGTTCTGACCCTTCTCCTCTTGGCCATTCAGAACCTGCTCTCTGGCTTCATGCCCCTGGACCCTGCCATCAGGGGAAGACAACCCAGAATCCTTAAAGCCATCTGGGTTGACACCTGGGGAAACAGAGGCCAGGGCTCTTTTGAGAGAACGGAAGTCCTGGCTGTTGTCCCCAGGTCTGCACTCTTGACACATCCCCTCTGCTCTCTAGGCCTCAGTCCAATAGTTGTAAAAGGGCCGACACTCCCTGCCCCACCTTAGATTAGAGGCAGGCCAACAAGGAACAACGGGCAAGCTGTAAAACGCTTCCTACCCTGAGTGCATGGAAAGAGGGCCTTGCGTGGGCACTGCCTTAGGGCATAGGGAAGCTAGGGGAGAGGCAGGCACGCCTGGTGCTGCCTTCAAAGGCGGCCGTCAAGCCTGTCTCTCCTGTGGGGAATGATGGACACGCTCACTCCTTATCTTTAAATATGTCCGGAGGGGTCTGCTGAGCCCTTCTCGGTCCCCTAACCCTGTCTCTGGGGCCTGGACTCGAGCCCAGAGTCCCTGTGCTCAGCCCACAGGCCTGAGATCTGGCTGGGAGTGCAGGGAGCGGGTGCAACCCTTCCTGGGTGCTCCGACCGACCGCAGGGACTTCCCACGCCTTCACTTCCTGCTCTTCAGCGGGGCTCACAGCAGCACCCAGGCTTCTGAGCCAGGCTGGGGACTTTTGAGGCAGCTTCTGTAGAGAAACGCCTGTTCCAATCAGGAACTAGATTTTGTAAACCTGGAAAGTTGGGCATTGGGGCAGCCAGGGCACCTGCCAGCGAGACACCGTGGTGTCTGTATCTGTTATCAGTCGAGAGGGCCACTCCGGGAGGCAGGTCTGGCACCCAGAGGTTCACACTTAATGCCTGCTGTCTTCCAAGCACCGTCCGTTGGCCATCTCAGTCCTAAGCCATCCCACGAGGTGGGCACTGTCTGAACCTGGTTTCACAGATGTCCTCAGGGTCACACAGACGTGGTCCAGAATGAAACCCAGACGCAGACATGAGGGGGCGGTGGACAGACCATCATGGCTGCTTTGTGACCCATGACCTTCCTGTTCCCAGTTACAGTCTCTCCTGAGATCCGCTGTGCTTCCTGTCACCATGTCCTGTTTCATAAACTCCCCTTTACAGTAGAAGTTCAAGCAAGTCTGTTTCCTGCAACCAGAGCCATGCATGAGATAATCCTGTAAAAGCCAACAAGTGATGCAAGCGGGACTGAGACGTCTGGTAAATGAAAATGAAAATGCATCTCTTTCCCTTCGGCGTGCCACTGAAGATCCTGGTGTCGCCATGGGTCGCCGCCCCGCCCGGTGTTACCGGTATTGTAAGAACAAGCCGTACCCAAAGTCTCGCTTCTGGGTGTCCCCGATGCCAAGATCCGCATCTTTGACCTGGGGCGGAAGAAGGCGAAAGTGGATGAGTTCCCACTCTGTGGCCACATGGTGTCAGACGAATATGAGCAGCTCTCCTCCGAAGCCCTGGAGGCTGCCCGTATTTGTGCCAACAAGTACATGGTGAAAAGTTGTGGCAAAGATGGCTTTCACATCCGAGTGCGGCTCCACCCCTTCCACGTCATCCGCATCAACAAGATGTTGTGTGCTGGGGGGGCTGACAGGCTCCAAACAGGTATGCGGGGTGCCTTTGGAAAGCCCCAAGGCACAGTGGCCAGAGTCCACATTGGCCAAGTCATCATGTCCATCCGCACCAAGCTGAAGAACAAGGAGCACGTGATTGAGGCCCCACGCAGAGCCAAGTTCAAGTTCCCTGGCCGCCAGAAGATCCACATCTCCAAGAAGTGGGGCTTTACTAAGTTTAATGCGGATGAGTTTGAAGATATGGTGGCCGAGAAGCGCCTCATCCCAGATGGCTGTGGGGTCAAATACATCCCTAATCGTGGTCCCCTGGACAAATGGCGAGCCCTGCACTCGTGAGAGTCTCGGTGCTGCCCCCACTTTACACCCACCAATAAATCAATTTTTCAGCCCTAAAAAAAAAAGAAGAAAAAAAAGAAAATGAAAATGCAGAGGATGGGCTCCGGGCGGGCACAGCAGCTCCCGAGTCTGAGTGCACAGGCCACCCCCAGCTCCCCGCAGGACCCCATCGGTCTGCCTGCACCTGCCTTGCGCTGGAGACCTGCTCCTCCTTTTCTCACTCCCGCCCCCCCATCCCAGACAGTGCAGAACCTAACGCAGAGCGAGGTCAGAGCAATTGACCCTCTTGGTGTCCTGGGAGCTGCAGCTGAAGGAAAAGGTGTGGTGCCTCTGGCTTTCGCAGCAGCCGATGGCAGAGCTGTCAGCGGAAGGATAAGCCGCAGTCACCACAAAACCGATGTGTGCTGGTCCCCACGCACCTGCCAGGTGCGACCTGAGACCCTGAGGGGACAGAGGTGAGCATGGTGGGCGTGTCCTTGTCCTCTGGGACTCAGGGTTCACACCTCCAGACACCGCATCACAGGGTGAGGTGGACGTGGATACAGGGCGCACAGAGCAGGAACCCCCAACCTACAGGGCTTGGGGTGGGGTCTCAGAGGGAGATGGGACAAGCCTGGCAAGAGGAAGTGAGAGGAAGCATGTCTGGGGTTCAGGCAGGCCTGAGTCCTCAGCACCAAGGGCAGTGGTCAGGGTGGAAGGCAACTCGAGGAGCCCACAGGGTGAGGGGCCTGGCCTGCTCACCCTTATCCAGTTACCCCTTTGGGGCAGCCAGGGCACCTGCCAGCGAGACACCGTGGTGTCTGTATCTGTTATCAGTCGAGAGGGCCACTCCGGGAGGCAGGTCTGGCACCCAGAGGTTCACACTTAATGCCTGCTGTCTTCCAAGCACCGTCCGTTGGCCATCTCAGTCCTAAGCCATCCCACGAGGTGGGCACTGTCTGAACCTGGTTTCACAGATGTCCTCAGGGTCACACAGACGTGGTCCAGAATGAAACCCAGACGCAGACATGAGGGGGCGGTGGACAGACCATCATGGCTGCTTTGTGACCCATGACCTTCCTGTTCCCAGTTACAGTCTCTCCTGAGATCCGCTGTGCTTCCTGTCACCATGTCCTGTTTCATAAACTCCCCTTTACAGTAGAAGCTCAAGCAAGTCTGTTTCCTGCAACCAGAGCCATGCATGAGATAATCCTGTAAAAGCCAACAAGTGATGCAAGCGGGACTGAGACGTCTGGTAAATGAAAATGAAAATGCATCTCTTTCCCTTCGGCGTGCCACTGAAGATCCTGGTGTCGCCATGGGTCGCCGCCCTGCCCGGTGTTACCGGTATTGTAAGAACAAGCCGTACCCAAAGTCTCGCTTCTGCCGAGGTGTCCCTGATGCCAAGATCCGCATCTTTGACCTGGGGCGGAAGAAGGCTAAAGTGGATGAGTTCCCACTCTGTGGCCACATGGTGTCAGACGAATATGAGCAGCTCTCCTCCGAAGCCCTGGAGGCTGCCCGTATTTGTGCCAACAAGTACATGGTGAAAAGTTGTGGCAAAGATGGCTTTCACATCCGAGTTCGGCTCCACCCCTTCCACGTCACCCCATCAACAAGATGTTGTCCTGTGCTGGGGCTGACAGGCTCCAGACAGGCATGCGGGGTGCCTTTGGAAAGCCCCAAGGCACAGTGGCCAGAGTCCACATTGGCCAAGTCATCATGTCCATCCGCACCAAGCTGCAGAACAAGGAGCACGTGATTGAGGCCCCACGCAGAGCCAAGTTCAAGTTTCCTGGCCGCCAGAAGATCCACATCTCCAAGAAGTGGGGCTTTACTAAGTTTAATGCGGATGAGTTTGAAGACATGGTGGCCGAGAAGCGCCTCATCCCAGATGGCTGTGGGGTCAAATACATCCCTAATCGTGGTCCCCTGGACAAATGGCGAGCCCTGCACTCGTGAGAGTCTCGGTGCTGCCCCCACTTTACACCCACCAATAAATCAATTTTTCAGCCCTAAAAAAAAAAGAAGAAAAAAAAGAAAATGAAAATGCAGAGGATGGGCTCCGGGCGGGCACAGCAGCTCCCGAGTCTGAGTGCACAGGCCACCCCCAGCTCCCCGCAGGACCCCATCGGTCTGCCTGCACCTGCCTTGCGCTGGAGACCTGCTCCTCCTTTT